AATAACGTAGTTTCTCATTTGCAGATGTCCTATTATTATGGATCACCAACAATGCGTTAAATTGTACAAAATATTGAAATTTCCCATTGTTGTAAGTAATTGCCCATTAATTATTGTCTATTTATCATTACTATTAATGTAATGGAGCATTGTATTGATTAGACCAGGTGTAAGAGTTGTCGGTGACATTTCTAATCACAGCGACTATGTATACTCAATGAGGAACGAATTCCTAGTGTGCGAATCAGAGTTAACTTCAAGCACCATACTGATAGCCAGATATATGGTCACATCTTGTAGATAAGCTATCTGTCGAGAACTCAAAAATGGTTATATTTTTTCTATCCCACAGCTTAACTAGTAATTTGTATATCCTGTAAAATTACATTACTCCAATTAAACTAACGCCTATGATTAAATCATTCTGTTTATTTACTTGTAATCTTATCACACCTATTTGCAATACAATTCCTATAAACTTTTTCATACATTATATCAAAATATACATGCTTGCAGACTGTTTCATTTAAGAAAGTGTGAATTTATATGACACAAATAAGAAAGTACTTCATTGTTTATAATCTATCAATTGTGGTTCATGTGTTTATGAATAGATTTATTAGCATTTCGAGAGAGCTAAAGAATTTCAATTTCAATAACGAATGGTTCTGTCTGAAAGTGCATTTTAATAACATCAATTGATAATAGTGAAAGTTGCTATATTTATCAATTTGTCAAATATACTTTGCAAGAAAATAATGTTTACACATATTGAAATTGACTCCGAATATATTAAAATGTAATAATAAATGAAATAAGCACCCGAGCTTATAAATGAGAGCCCATTAAGTCACTGATAGTTCTGCTTGAAAATTTTATCTTCACGGCAACAGATGAAAATTCTTATGGAAATATGCAAACGCTGTTGGAAAATAAACATTGAAAACAATTGTTCATCGAATGTTTAATGTACTCATATTCGAAATACCAAAAGCGAGTGGGCATATTTCAATCATCCTGCCATAGAATCATCAATTGAAGTTTATTGTTCGTCTTGGAATAAATTTTCTTGCAATTGTGATTAATACACTTGTTTCAAATCAATGAGAGCCTACATATTCAACAAAGGAATTAACCCAGTTTCTTGAATTAAGTACAAAGTCATCGTCAAAATCTTTAATTTATGAGTTTTAAAATAAATTGTAGAAATACAAATCACTTTAGCACAAGTGTTTAATGCGGTCTAAAAATTTGATAAAACTACTTGAAATGTGCACAAATAAATTGACACCAGGTTTATTCTCGACATGGGTGACCTCCAGACAGAGACTTAATATGGAGATTATTCCAAAGCAAAATTATTTTTCCTATATTCCACCAGATGAATCTATACAAATAAATACAAAGCTGGATAGGGAATCGAAAACAGGCTTAACAACAACCGGCCAATGTCTATTCACACAATGAAGGCCTTAATCAAGAGAGAGTTCAAGAACTCAAGGTGCAACGGATTTAGAGCTCGAACAAAGGAGAAACTGTAGACAGTAACAGTCTCCGACATAGCCGACTGGCCAAGAATCGAAGCCGTTGCAACATACCCGACTGGCCAAGAATCGAAGCCGTTGCTGAGTTTAGAGTGGCACTCTACCACATAGCCGAATGGCCAAGAATCGAAGCCGTTGCTGAGTTTAGACTTTGGCCAAGAATCGAAGCCGTTGCTGAGTTTAGACTACGTACCGAACACGATTGCTTGGCAAAACACCTTCACGTGGGAGTATACACTCAACCCACATGCCCCCTATGTAACCTAAGGAGGAAATGGAGAAGACCCACCTGATTCGGTGTCTAGCGATCAACCCACATGCCCTCTATGTAACCTACAGGAGGAAATCTGGCGAAGCACCTTCACAGATTAGGAGTATACAATCAAAACACCTTCACAGATTGAGAGTATACACTCAACCCACATACTCTATGTAACCTACAGGAGGAAATGGAGAAGTCCCACCTGTCTATGTGACCTACAGGAGGAAACGGAGAAGACCCACCATATGTAACCTACATGAGGAAATGGAGAAGACCCATCTGATCTGTAACCTACAGGAGGAAATGGAGAAGACCCACCTGATGTGAAACCTACAGGAGGAAATGGAGAAGACCCATCTGATTCTTAATCTAAGAGAGTATACACTCAACCCACATGCCCTCTGTGTAACCTACAATACACTCAACCCACATGCCCCCGTGAAACCTACAGGAGGAAATGGAGAAGACCCATCTGATTCTCTACAGGAGAAAATGGAGAAGACCCACCTGATTCGGTGTTCAAAGGAGGAAATGGAGAAGACCCACCTGATTCGGTGTCTAGCGGAGGAAATGGTGATGACCCACCTGATTCGGTGTCCAGCTCTAAAGACAACGGAGATCAACCCACATGCCCTCTATGTAACCTACAGGAGGAAATACAACCCACATGCCCCCTATGTAACCTACATGAGGAAATGGAGAAGACCCATCTCATTCGGTGTCCATCTCTAAAGACAACATCGGAAAACCAGGAATGCTAGAAAGCAAAGAAGACAGTTAATAAACTGCTGTTAATTAATAGCTATATATGCACCCCCCATCAATAGGGGAAGCTGAAGTCAAAGTTTAAGGGCTAATGATAAATATCGTAAAGCCTGCAATTTGAAATAATAATAAAATAATAACCTTGAAGGTAAGTATTCTAATGTAATTCTTCTTTGGCTACAATTCAATGAATATTTAAAAGGTATAAATATTAGGATAAAAACACTAAAATTTGGAAATTTTTTTGAATCGAATACACAAATATTTTTTCATGGTCTTTAGAGTTGGACAACGAATAAGGCGGATCTTCTCATTTTCCTCATGTAGGTTACATAAAGGGCATTTGAGTTGAGTGTATTCTCCCTATCTGTGAAGGTGTTTTGCCAAGCAATTTGTTCATTTCTATATTTTTTTCGTTTTATTATTATACAATTAAATAACTCTATTATTTTAACAAACGTAGATCCAACAACAAAGGCATTCTAAAGCACATGAAATACACTGCCACTACTTATTTATTTAAGTATAAATAAATACCAAACAATTAAAAAATACACATTGCCCACTTTTTTGATTCAATTGGCCAAATTTTGGAGCGATACTTGGGTATTAAAAAATCGATTATTCTATTAAAATAAGTTTAATATTTTGCAAATATTAACTAGCTCAAGTAGCACATTATGCCTCAAGTCAGGCTTTTAGGAGCATTTTATTTTGTGCCATCGATGGTTCGGAAAGTGTGGTTTAGTCTCAGGAGTGCAGCCTTGAAACTGATCGGCTGCCGAACAAACACCCAATAGAGTTTTTTCTCTAACCCATTGGGTATGTTTAGGAATTTTTGTCGGTTTTAGGAAGGTTTGTTTGAGATTATCATATCTACGCATTTTAATTCAATGATATTGCTGATTCAACAAAAAATTTCAATGGCTTTCTATCCAATTTGCAATCCTTTAGGAAAAAGCATAGCATTGTGCAATTCGTTGGTTGCACTAAAAGTTTGAAATTTGGGCAAAATATTTTTGCATTTCACTCATATAATAAAATGTATAATTTAGACTAAAACCGTTCTTGTGAGCTAAAAGGAAACCACAATTTTTTGTTGAGAAGGGATGTTGATTTCATAAAATATTTGAGTGACAATTCATCAAAGTTTCCTAGATTAGCCAAATAAACATTTTTGTTTGCGTAAGAATGTCCGTATTGAATGGAAATTGATGGTTACTTCTAGGAATACAGACGATAATAATATAACATATAATTGGCTTGAAAGATGAATATTTTTTACTCAATTTATCACACAAGATTGATATATCATTTACTTTAAATATCTGATGAAATTTGACTAGAAATGTAGTGAAATAAACCAAGCATGGACTTTCTATCTAGCTTCTCAGTTAGATTTAATTAATTTACTTTGTCTTTTACGTCCACTGCTCATTTTATACAATTAAAACCTCGATGCAAAGGGCTTAGCGCAGAAATTTAACAGTTTTTTAATGATGGTGCAAACATGGGTGAAAAATAAACTATTATCAGGTTTTTAAATAGAGATTTTAAATTGGATAGATAGCCATTGAAATGTTTTGTTGGACCGACGTCATGATTCAATGCAAGATGCGTAGACATGAAATCATATGCAAACATCATTAAACGACAAAAAATACCTAAACCTTCCCAATAGCTTAGAGTAAAAACACTTTATTGAGTGATTATTTGGAAGCCGATAAGTTTCAAAGCTCCACTTCTGATACTGAATTGCTTTAGAATATGCATCGTTGTCACTAAAAAAGATGCTCCCAAAAGCCT